ATATTTCGTATCGATAAGTCTATGACTGATATTTAGTGTTAATCTGTTATTTGTATTTTATAAAGTCAATTTTGAATTTATTTTTTCATTCAATAATTTAAATGATATTAATTACGTTTAATTTTCTTTGTCTTATTTTACTATAATTTTGAAATTTATTCCGCGACAATAATTCTCTATTCGATTTTATTTTCTTCAAATGGTAATCTATTTCAAATTTTTCTGCATAATTCAAAGTGATTGTATTTTATTATCAATTTTATATCTGACAAATATTACACTTTAATCAATCATTGCATGAGAAATTCACATTTTTTACTATTTTCGTTTACTTTGCTTAATTAATATAAAATGTATTCCGAATGTCTTGTTCTTCCAGCACGAACATACTGATCTTTTGAATTGCACAAATATTTTCAAAAATGATTCCGTGAAGTCTAAATTGAAAGATAGGATATTTGAACAAAAATGGATTAGCAAAATATCAAAATTGAACCAAAAAACTCGTAATAATAATAATTTAAGTATTTTATCAGAAATTTTTTCAGAAGTTTTTAGCCCATTTTTTAATTTATTATTTATTGATATGCTATCAGTGATAAGCAAATAATAATTTGATAATTTAATTAAAGTAGTGCATTTCTGCGATCTATCAAGAGGGAATGAATGCGGACCCAATGGGATATGCATACAACAACCGACGGGTAACCGATGTCGTTGTCCGCTTGGGCGTATGGGCATAATGTGCCGTAGTAAGCTAATTAAGCTATCACTAAGTTTAGTGCAAAACAACTAAAAGTTTAAAGTTAGACTCAAAATAGATGGCTTTATCTTTGGTTGGCTGCTATTATTAAGATAGCAAGAAGAGGTAAACAAATAAAACGAGACGATTAGCAGAAAATAATACTATTTCAGTGTTTTTATAAAGTTTTTCTTTTTAATCACAGTAAATTCCTTTAATTTATCGAATAACTATTTTACCAATAATTATTAATGCTTGAAATTCAATTTAATTACTCCAAATTAAGCTCGCTTTTATAATTTAATAATTTTCAACCTAATGTTCAGATTGAATTTGGACTAATTAAAAGCTGAAGCTAATCTAGTGATGTTCAGGACCTTGCCAGGATATTTACAAGTCTTGTGAACGTTGGAAAGAAGAAAACCGATGTCATTGGGCTAAACCAATTTTACCATTTTTTGAAGATAACTGTGCTCAAACCTGCGGTCGATGTCAAAATAACGGACGATGTTAGCTTTGAATTTTAACTTTTTCTTTGGAAGAAATGAAATTTAAATTTATAAACTTAGATTGGAAGTTAAAAGTTGGCATTTTTGAACTGTCTGTCATAAAATGAATTCTAAGGAAAATAAAGAATTAAATAACTAAATAAAATGGTTGACTTTACAGAACCTCAAAAATTTTACATTAAAAAGTTTATGTAAAATTGATAGAAATAAATTATGATAATTATTATATATTTAATTTCAGTATTTGTGGTTTTTATTACGCAAAATTATAACTTTAAAAAATTATAACGATTATTAGATATTATCATTTTCAAATACACTGTTCTATTTTTATTTCTTGTAATTTTTTTAATTTTTGATACTTGATATTTCTAAAACATTTTCAAGGCTCAAAGGAATAAATTTCGCTAGCTTATAAATTCTATGCTTGGTTATAATTGTTGCACAGTGTAGTCAATTTAGCATCTAATATAATAGTCTGATTTTAGCTCTAAAAATACCATTGCCACCAATTTTGGAACCAGTTTCGTGGATAATTGGTCAATGGCAAACTGAAACTATAGTTGGAGATCGATTTCCAGTTCCATTTCAACAACCCTACAAAGAAGTTTTGGATATTTTACTTTCAGAAGTACCAATGTTCGATCGTCCACCAGTAAATGTTTCGTGAGTTAATTGATTTGTCTTATTGTACAAAATTCTTTGATACAAAAATATGAAACTAAATTTAGAATCCGAGCTTATACTCAAGAAGGATCAGAATATAATGAAGTAGGATTCATGACAGGTAAGCCTTTTCACGAAGCAACAGGATTCGTGGAACTGAACAAGTCATCTAGTGGTCATGACCAAATTGCTATTGAAATGGTTAGTAACACAGGTAAATGATAAAAAGTATTCTTTTATATGAAAAGCATTTTATACAATTTAATAATTGAAAATTATAATTTTAAAAACTTCCATTCTTTCATTTAATTTGTTTGATTCCAAAAAAGGCAATGCATACGAAAAGTTGTTGGATATGTTGAAAATTTGAACAAGACTATTTGCATCGTCTGAACAAGAAAAGCTAATGAATTTTAGATGATTTGATTGCAAGCGATAAAGTGCCATTATTACTTGTAGGCTATAAATTTTTTTTATAATCTTATAATATTAAAAAATAAATAAATAACTTTTTTTATAATAAAACGATAAATTCACTTTCTAATCATTTATCTGAGTAAATGCAGCATTTATGCAAAATGTACCAAACGTGTCAAGTTTTATAATTAATTGAATAACAAATTGAAAACGAATGAAAGCAAACAGAAAACGCTTCAACTATGAATAAGTAATTTTTTGAAAGAAAATTTATTTATTGATAAGTAAAGCGTTTTTGAATTTGACGTATTTGTGAGCAGTAGTGTGGAAGAACGGACGCCATACAATTTAATTGATGGATGAATATTTTATAATCCTTCGAATTGTTAAAAAATGGAAATAATCTTAGTGTATGCAAGTAAGCATGCATATTTAAGTATACAATTTGTTGAATAAAATTCCAATAAGTGAACAAATTTGAATTAAAATTTTACTTGTGCTCTATTTAGTAAGGATAATGAATACATTAATTGGTAATTTTTTATCTTTTTTGCTTAATTTTTAATTATTTACAGGAATAACAACAATCGAGGAAGGTATACTTCGTAATGATGAGATAATACTCAATTTAAGTTATAAACGAGCTCTTCCAGCTGCATATTTCCATCTGCCAAGAAAAGTAACTTATTTAGATCAATAAGTAAAACTTTCTATCTCCAATTTTGATTACATATATATTAATTCAATAAGTAGTACTAAAAAAGTTTAAAAAAGTTTTTCAAATCAATTAATATATAATCTAAGATATTGTTTGCAATTAAACTTTATGAAAAATTCAAAATTTTGTTTGAATTTTTTTTAAGGAGCAAAAAAGTTTTTTAATTGGTCTTAATAAGCAAACGAGTAAGTTTAGTTTTTTTGATTTTGTTTGAGCAATTAATTAATTATGCTGGCAATAGACAAAAACTGATGGATATCTCAAAAACTGCAATATTCAGAAATTAATATTGAATAAACAAAAATTAAACTTCTATATAATTATTTCATGAAAGGATAAAAATTAATATTGCTACTCAATTATCAATTTTTTTTTATAAGCTTAATCCTATTTTTTTATAAAATCTCAATATCATTTTACGCTTTTAAATTTGGCACAAAATTAATCTTCAAACTTCTGGCAAGTTTTTTAATTAACGTTAATAATTTTTGTATTTTATAGTCAAGACGAAGTTTCAAACTACAAGGACGAAATTGGTTGATTGAGAAGGCATTTTTGGAAGATTCACATGGATTAATTCATAAATGGATTAAGCGATATCGAAGAACTAGAGATTATCTATTAGAATACTAATTTATTTTATTTTTATTAAAAAACTTACCAGCTCGAAACTACCTGACAAACTGATTGTATTCTTTACAGCATCCTGCAAATAATAATATCACTTATAAATTAGTAACATTACAAAAAACAGAATATTTCTTGGCATACCAAAAAAGGAATACATAATTGTTATGTATGGACTTATTACGGATAAAAGCATTTTTGTGCAGTAAAACTTATTAAAATTCATTACTGCCAAGATTTATCAGTGTTGCGTTTCTAGCGAGATGTAATTATAATCCTTCTGATTCCCACTTTTAAGTTCCAAACACTTTTTTCTGTTATTTTATCAGCGACGCTATCAATTATCACTAATTACAACAAATCTTTCTAAAATCCAATATAAATCCATTAAAACTAGCCAGTTGGAATTTATTTTTATAAAATTAAGCATGCTTTTCACTACAAATTTTAATGGGATACTAATTGTGTCATAAAAAAGTAGCAGCGATAGTTCTACTTTATCGAGCAGTTTTAGAAATTACTGGCCTTAAGGCTACGCTTTTTAATTACTAAAATAGACAGATAACATTATGAAAATGCAAACCAATTTAATGATTTGGTATAAGAAAACGCTCATAGTGACGTGAATAATTTTGTTAGGATGTGCGACAGGTCGCGTGCCTTTTTTGTAATATCGTAACAGATCACTGTGTAGTCTATACGTCAATGGCACGTCATTACGTCGCAAAGGTTCCTTGTGGCTTGAGTCATAATTAATACTTTTTGCAGCAAAAATTATAGAGGTTACCAGATGTAAGAAAATTCCAGCAGAATAGATGTAATGCATGCAAATGCAATATGCAGATTAAAAAAATACGTAATATAATTGGTTATAATTTGAATTATTCGTTGATTAAGTGTAATCACGTATTTGACTTGACTCCAACATGAATAATATTAGCTGCTAACTAATATTTAAATTCAATTTTTAAACTGAAATATCAAAAAGCTTTTTATGCATCTTAAGTTTAAGTTTAAAATGTGATAAGCTTAGTGAATAGCAAACGATAAAAATCAAATAATTTTTGAATTTTTTCTTGCAAAGAGCAATAGAAAAAAGTTATAATAAGGCTAAGAAAAACAATGCTTTACGTACGTCCACGTTGCTTCTACTACTCATTTTGGCATTGTTTTTATGGAGGGAATCCTTACTTGCACTGAAAATCTAAACAATATGCATAGTCTGGTGGATAGAAAGATGGATGGATGAATAAATGAATGAATGAATGGGTGTGTGTGTGTGTGTGTGTGTGGTGTGTGTGTGCATGTACTCAGCCTTCTTTCTTGGCCTTTGCTGGATAGATAGATAGATAGATAGATAGATAGATGGATAGATAGATGGATGGATGGATAGATGGATAGATAGATGGCTAAAAATGGAAGCTGAAAACGAGAAGTGAGCCAGTAAAAATGTGTGGCTTTGAAAAAATGGCCAAACTTTAAAAATTCTGAGCTTTAGTTGAAGATTTTCAATTTAGTAAAAGCAATTGATTCAAGTAGTAAAGACTTACTGATAAATAAATGCATGCTTGCATTGCTGGACGAATTAATGATATGTTTTATGCAAATTAAAAATGTGTATTTAAAAATGCGCATTTATGAACATATTTATATGATTATCATTAATTAAATAAAACTTTAGTTTGCCTTTAGATCGATGTATGCAAAAACTTTATATTATATTTATCATAAACATTTTGCTTTTGCATTTATATATATTTTCTCTCTTTTTTAATCAAAGATCGATGTATGCTATTATTTGATGCTTAATTCAGTTATAGACAAATTTAAGTTTATAAATAAAGTAGAAATAAGTATGCGAAGGCAACATTTCTTTGCAAAATTTTACTTTATTCAAGATTTATTCGCATGATTGCTTCATTATGATGGCTTACTCGAGAAATTGTGAGAATTCACATCAGAAAGTGAAATGATATTCTGAAGATTCTTTTTGGCAAAAAAACATCGAATGTTATTTTTGCTTCTTCTCAGTTTGATTAATGTCAAAAACAGAAATTTTGATATTATAATTTATGAATGAAACGTTCACCATTACTTTTTCCAAGATAAAATCCACTTTTGCTTACATTTATTGTGTAATTGAGAATCTAATCTTAATTCGATCTTAATTATACAATTACACACTAAAAATATATCAGTTAAAAGCACTTATCAAAATTTGCATATTGACGTAATATTCTTTCACGAATAAGAAAATTAGATTAAGAAGAAGGTCAAAAAACGTGAAATTAAATCATCCATAAAAATTAATTGTTTTTCACTCAATACTAATAATTTTTGTCACTGATATATTTGTGTATCTGAGTAACAATAAAATTTACGTCATAAGATCACAAAAACATGTTGCAAATAATAATTACTTAAGTGACAAAATGAATTGGCAAAAAGATGTCAAAAGTTTGTAAAGCATATTTGCAAGAATTACAACACGCATAATACGTAAAAATTGTTCATCGAAAATATCTAATAATATCTTGCCAAAAACAAGCTTTCATATTTGGAAAACGATCGAAGCAAGGAATGAACGAGATATCCAATTGTGTTATTTTGCCTGCAATTTCAATATGAAAAAACATCAAATTTTCATAAAAAATAGTACACACTTCATTGCATATCTTTATAAAATTTTTTTTGATTTTACAAATTCGTAAGAAATTATTTTATTTAAAGTAAAAAATAAATAAAAAACAGTAACAGTGCAGAAAGTGTAAATTATACTTTCAGTAAACAAAATCTAAACCATAACTGCAATCTTTAATGAAAGTAAGAAAGGTTTGGTGCAAAAATAGAAGTAAAAATCTACCAGGTCTTTGATCACAAAAAGTAAGGCATTTCTGACCAGCCAAAGTAGTAGTAACACCATTCCTGAGGCAACATGAACGATGATCTCGACCTTGAGCTGCGCAGAATTGCAATTCTTTCATGGCTTTCAATGGGCAACCATTTAGTCCGAAGTACATAGCGGTTATCTGAAAATTTATTATCTCTTTGATTTTTATTCAAAAATTTGAATATTATTTGGCACTATTTGCACCTTCATATTTTACAGTTCATTGCTAAAACTAACCTGACCCAATTTGTCAGTTATATATTATTGAATTAAAAGTTTGACCTTGAAAAACTTTGCTTTTCTAAGGTCAAATTTTTTTGCTTTTCCCTTCAAATAAATAAGTACTCACAGATTCTTTGGTAAAGTGCCTGAAGTTACATTTGTTGAGACAGGCATCTGGCAGCTTACGATCCATACAGCACTCAAGAAACGCCTCATTAGGATCCTTTAATATAATAAATCAAGCGGTTTAAGTCGTTTCTATTCAACTTTAATCATATTTTAAATTATTACACTACTCTGTTAAATGCCTAATAAATCATTTTTAGCATTATGAAGCCTCGAACTCTGTTGTGCTTCTGCAGTTTTCCGTTAAATTTATTTTGCTATTTTATTTATTCAAAACTTATGATAACACACAAAGACAAAAGTCAAAAAACCTTTTATCGCTGAATGCTTCCATAAGTTATGAATAATTAGATCATTTATTTTTATAATTTTTTACACGTTCGTTTTTTTTTACTATTGCTGAGCCGCACACGTCTTGCTTGCGCAGATAAATATTCAAAATTTTTTGCATTCAAATATATACGTGAAATTATCTGTTTTCTTATTACTGCATTCTTTGACTAAACTTTGTTAATTTCAATTGAAAGTATAGAAATAGTTCTCAGTAAGCTCCGAAAGATCTAAAAAAACATTAAAATTACGCTAATAGATTGGAAAATGAACATGCCATGTAATTATTTTAGAATTTGATAAGAAGTTAAATTTTACTGCAATTTTCTGCTAAGCTAAAAAAAATAAACTTGTTCTTTCTTTCAATTTTTTGCTCTAATATTATGAATTTTCCAAGTCAGTGATTTTCTAAATACATTCTAAATACTTTTTGTTAATCAAAAAAATCCTTGAATGCTTACTTGATTGAAAATTCACACATCAAAAATATTTCAAAAATATAATCCAAATTTTTTTGCAATATATTTTGAATTAGTTTTCTACTGCGTATACAATACTTATTAAAATGTACCCTAAATTGCTGGGCTTTTTGAGATAGTTGAGCAGCTGTTGGCGAAGCTAATGCAAGTGCTCGGAATTCATCCAGCTCAGTCATCGGTTCTGTTTTCTGATTAGGTAGTCGGGTCCACTGCCTAAATTGATTTATAGTTTGAACTAAATGATTTGTATGCATAATTATATTTAAATAATTCATTTTGGTAAAAATGAAAAAAAAAA